TGTGGATATTATTCTATTCAAAGGACTTAATTGTTCTTCTTTAAATAGCTTAGGTCCTCCTTTGTAATAAATATATTTAGTTCTAGTTCCGTTTCAATTATTTTGATTTTTCCCTCTTTCCCTGGGTCTATATATATAGACCCCGTTGCTGTACCGAATGGTTGGTTGGTAATGGAATAAAATTGTTGATTCCAATTAATTGAACAGACCTGCCTGGGGTTTTACTAATATCCTCAGTCATATTGGGAAGGAGAAAGGTTCTCAACCTCCAAGTACTTCGGATTCTGCTCAGAGAAAGCATCATATTTTGCTTCAGTAAGCATTACCCCTTGTGGCACTTAATAATATAATTGTACAGTGCTCTCCTCCCAATTTCGCTGCTATTTACATTTCTTGTTTTCTGGAATTCGGGAAATATTTTGTTGAATTTAATTTCTTGTTCAGGGATCGACTTTTATCTTTCTCCTGAATCAGAAACAGACAGCTGTGGCGATTGCCTCTGCTCGACCCACTACTGCAAAGCCTCCAACCATAATGGGCAGTGTAGCTTCACCTAACATCTCCAATTCTGCAGCCGCTAGTTCCTCTGCCACGGCTGGTGGAGCACCTATTGCTATGAGCTTCAATTACCCGAACATGCCCACCAGTGAAACCCCGTACTTGGCAATCTTGTAGAATAATGCATACCCTTTTCCCCATACATGCTTTATGAAGTTGCAGGATTTTCTCAAATCTCCGAGATGGAAATGTTGTACAATACTTGTAGTGGAAATAATGTTGGAGGGGCTGGATATGAGGAAAATAGAGATAGTGCATTTTTTTCACTTGCCATTTCTATCATAACATAAGTATTTCGGAGTTGATAGTAGCAGTTTGTGGTGTGAGCTTCGACGGTTTTGGCGGCGACGGTGGTGATGGAAGAGGCTGAGGGAGGGGGAGGAGAAGAAGAGGAAAAAAAACCGTTTTTATTTTTATTTTTGGCTATTTTTAATATTTTAATAATTTATTTGAACTCATTTGCACTTTTTAAAAAAATTTAGAAATAAGATTACAATTTGTTCTTTATTTTTCTTCTTTTTGTTTTGTTTTATTTAAATAGAAGGGTATATTGATGATTTTATATTAAAAATGGTGAAAATGATATTTTCCACAATGAAACGTTGAAATAAGGACAAAAATGCAAAAAAATGAAATGTAGGGACGTTTTCCGCAAGAAGTGTCAAACGTGGGGACGTTTTGTACTATTAAGCCATTATAAAGGACTCCAGAGAACATTTAACAAACTACTTGACAGTACACGATAAACATAATTTTATTATGCAATATAAATATTATTTTATAGAGCACTACATAGTAAATTACTGAAGGAACCTATCAATGAAAAAAAATCCAAGTACCTATCCTGTGCATATTATCTTGGATGAAGATCTTACTTGTCACTTTGAAAAGTTAAGGAACAAAAGTTCTCTTTTTCTTTGTTATATGCTTAGATAATGAAAGTAGCACTGTAGCAGTCATCTGCATCCAATTATCAAGGATAATATTTTTGCAAAAGCACCAAGTAAAGACCATTTATAGTCCCCTTAATGATTAACAAATCAATGACATGTTTGGTACACTAAACGACATAGGACGGTAAATTGAATAAGATTTTAACTATTTTTCTTTATTATTACCATCTAGTAGTGTCTAACATCCCTTGCCATAGAAACCATGATTATTTTTGGTGGAAAACTGAAAAGCATTTCTTATGCAAACTAGTTTATGAAGCCACATTTTTTTCGAATCTCCCCAGATTGTCCGGTGAGCACACCGATATTTCCAAGCTTTACCATCGACGCTGCAAAATCTTTTGAAAAGAGAAATGGATCCATACTATAGTCCTTGACCATTGCAGCAGCTTTTGGATCTCCAATTAAAGCTTGATCAGATTCAAGAAGGCCTGTGTTGTTCAGCAGGTTCTTATAGTACATGTTATCGAACCTGTATATGCTCTGCGAGTCGAGAGGAGCAAGCTTTCTGTTTGATGCATCAGCATCAGAACAAGTGCTCTGCAAGTTCGAGAGAAATGAAGAATCTAGCGTAGGATCTGGCTTTCCAGAGCCTTTGAAATTGAAGAGCCTCCTCTTGAAAGTGAAGCATTGCGCAAAACCAATAGTATGTGCTCCTATAAATATATAAGAACTACAATTACAGCTAAGCATTATTCACAATAAATTTGGAGTTGGATATGTGAATTCTCTTTATTCATCATGTAACATCATGCAAGAAAGAACTATCTATATTCACACGACTAAAAAAGAAACCAGTTTTTTTCCAAAATTATTTTAGTATCTAAATAACGATATTTTAAGTGACAGGCTTAATTTTAATCTTCTATTCTTGGTATTACCAGGAAACAGAAAGTGAGAAGTACCTGAAAGAACTACAGCATCCTTCAAATCAAGACCCTTGGCTACAAACTTGGCAGTGATATTCCCTAGAGGTTCAAAAGGTGATGGTAACTGTTCATTTGCTGCTTTCTCACTTGCAGTTAATCCATCTTGCCTACCTAAAGCAACAGGCCAATAAGGCCCTCCTGACTAGTTCCAAACAAACGGTAAACAGTAAATCTTCAACTCTTCAAAGTTCATCAATCTTGCAATAAAGTAACGAACTCGTTGAATCGCCTCGCCTAAAAGTTTATGTTGGTAGAGAGGGGACACATTTATTCAACTAAATTTGGTCTTCAACATGCCTCATCACGTGTACACTGAATTCATTTTTTTTAATCTAAAGTCCCACAATTTTCATAAATAGGTGGCGGCTAGACTGGAACCCTATGATGCTCATACTTGGGTACGGGTATCTGGTACGTATCTAAGTGTCATATCTTTTATTTTCTAAAATGTAGGATACGAGAACATGGCTAAAAAAATGTTCAAATTTCGGACACGGGTACATAGGTATATCTTTCAAACTTCCACTTTTTTACCAATCTAAGATATCATTTTGAATAGACCAAAATCAATTATTAACAAAGAAAGAAATGAGTATTGAATAAGGGGTTAAGATGAATAAAATAGAATTTTGGAGTTTAGTTTTCAATCATGAGAATTACTAGATGTTATATAAAATAGAAAATAAGCGATTTGATTGCAATTTGGACTTAGTGGAGCACTAAATAACACTATATATAACCCATTTTCATTTTATACAAACAAAACCCTAAACCATCTCGTCTAATAGCTTAGGCTGTTAGAGAGAACACATTAATTCATGTAAATTAAGTCTCAAGTCAACTTACCAAAGAAACAGCTTCTCTAGCTGCAAGAGTCAGTATGTCAACACAAGATACAATTTCTGGGCAGGATTTTTCTACATCTGCCTTTATACTGTCAATAACTTCAAATCCTCGAACTGAATTGCGGTTGGGTAAAGCATTCTTCTCCCCCTTGAATTCTTGAGTATCATCAAGAAGAACAGAGCCATCACATCCCTAGTCCAAGCATAGGCATTGCACATTATCCTTAAAAATTATCTGGCAGAAGAATGCACAAACTATAGTTGCATAGTATAACACGATTTGAAAAATCTTCATTTCTAATGTTTGGTTTCAGGTTACTTAGTTTTAGAGCTACAAAAGGAGAGGAAACGTAATAAATATCGTCAAATATAAGGCAGAACTTATGGAAGGACTACAAAAGGGGCATCAGTAGTATTTCCATTTTCTCTGAATAGTAACACAATTTCTTAAAACTCATAAATCTGATTCCTTACCCTGTGTCTTAAAATAATTCATTTTTTCCTCACTAAATTCTGTTCTGTTAAAAGAAAATCACATCTTTTAGACATTGATTTTCCTATAAGCAATTAAAAATTGTAATCATACTAAAGCATATATAATATCCAACTATATGCATTTTTGGTGGGGTAAAACGCCAGCAACCTAATGCCACCCAGAAATATTATTGATAGGTGCAAAAACAATTTTGACTTTAAAATTAGACAAGAAGGCTATATCTATAGACTCAGTAGAAGAATTACATTAACAAAACAATCATGAAAATGTAGCCGAAGAAGGGATGCAGCTATTCTTGTGTCATTCTTGAACGCTGCCCAAACACCCCACTTAACTAACATGAGCAAGTTAGGGCAAGATTTATCATAGAAATTGCACCTAAGAGGTCCATTGAACTTATCATAGTAAACATAATCGGGTAGGCCTTTGGCTAAGGGTGCAAAATAGAAGATCAAGCAAAAGAAAGCAGTAGTTGGGTAGAAGGTTTTATGCCTCATATCTTCTGGGGTGAAAAGATTGGTACAGTTGCTTCTATTTATAACCAGGGAAAGAGAACAAAAAGAAAATTCATTCGAGTGCTTGGAGAGTGGCAATGCCACTATACTTGTGACAACCTAATGGCCATGTCTGCAATAAATGTAATTTACAATTGAAAAGGAAGACCACCACTGATTGATGTCATCCATTTAGTTAATTTTCTAATTACATCTAGGAATCCTAGCAAATGAAAGCATAGACTGTTCACATCAGATTAACATTTAAGTATTGAAGAATGGGACTAAATATCTCTCAGCCTGAACTCACTGTCTTGGTATTATACTAGCTTCCATTTGATATTGGTATGATTGGTCATGTTTTGCTCGGCATGGACCTGATTTCTCACGGTCTCGCCTTGTGTTATTTACTAGTTGGTCTGTCCAAGCATCTGTTATCTTAAACATATAATCAAATCATATCTGAAAAAGGAATTCAATTATGTTCTAAAAATAGCTAAGCATTTTTAATTATCATCAACAAATGGAAGATACAGGTATGATGTGCTTTCTGACAATGCATAAGCTTTAAGAATATTGGAAAAGGTTGCACTACTTATAGTTAATTAATACTCATCTGCTTATCGAATTTGCGGGTTATGTTCGTGATATTTAAACATACAGCCGGCTTTCAGTCCACCACAACAGCTGAGTCATACACAATGATACCAAATATTGATAGATTTTGCAAAAAATTTAATACAACATTATCTTAGCATTTTAATCAATAACAGCATTGCAAGCACTAGAACTCGTTGAAGGTTGCAAAAAGTGCTTATAAACAGTTTTTCTTACAAATTATGGACAAATTATGATTTGTTGAATTGATGAAAAAGAACTAATTCGGCACGCTAATGCAAAAAATAAACAGTATTCCAGCATTCTTGTTCCATGATCTTCTACCATTATCGCATATAAATTTCAAGTTATTACCAGAAGTTGCAGAATTGCGGCGGTGTGGGCTTAAAGCAGGTGGTTCAATTTTCCAATTAACGCTTCCAGTAACCCTGCTTATGCTGAGAAGCTAGCTGGGGTTCAAAACAACTTATTCTGCCTCTATATGTAGAAATGGATAAGACTGACCAAAACATTTTTGGATCTACAATTTCTCTTTAATTTATTTAATTTAGAGCTAAAAATTCCCTTCATGCAAAGAATTCTTCAGATGTTAAGTAGTAATTCTTGTTAGAAACACTGGATATAGCTGCTATGAGGTTTGAATAAGCAAAAAAGATGGAACAGTTAAAACTACTTCGGATAAATATGGAGAAAGGGGTTGACTTGAAAATTGGAAAAGTAAAGATTTTAAAAACATGGTAGAAATTTTTTGAATTAATCTAGAAGTGCATTCATAGATAACATTGTTATTGATATTATCAAAATCTATATCAATTGTTGGATTTTGGGGCTCCAATCAATGATTTCCGGGCTCAGATTAAATCAATGTCGACAAACCACAACCAACCAATCAATCCACAAACCGGCACCACCTTCCCGAACACGGTTGCTTACAGATTTCTACAGCCCACTAAGGACTAAGGTGAGGAGATTACAGCCAAGGAAGAGCCACAAAGGCTAGGTAGAGGAGAAGAGCAAAAATGGGTCTCTCAAGCACAAAGCAATAGACAAGAAACGGCTTTTCTCTTCAACTCACAAAGGGGACGGTTTTTCTCCTTTTTCATATAACACGGCTGCTCAATTAATCTCTCACACAATACACGTAAGTAACAACTCACTTAAATAGGTTTAAGATAGGTTTAGGGTTTAGGCTTTTAGGTTAAACAAACAGGGCCCAATAACAACGGGTAAGTGGGCTAAAACCTTAAAGCCATCCAAGTCGTTCGGGTTGGGCCATGAGTAACACTAATACAATTAGGCTACTTCGAATGGTTTAAGTGGGTTACGTGATTCGATTGGTCCGATTGTGGTGTCATCATATCATTTCAATCATCGGCCGAGGCCTATGAAATATTATCCAAACTAAAATACCGATTTAACATCATCGCCCGGATTTATTGGGTATCAAAACCCAACAAATCTCCACCTTGATCCCAATAAATCTGCAAGTAGACAAAACACACAGTTTACACTTGCACAACCAAGGTAACCAATAAAATTGGCATCACAGACCTTACCTCGTGTCTCCACCTGA